AAAGGACAATGTTTTAATGCGTGTAATAATAAGTTAGTCAATAAAATGAACTCTCTCATATGTAACCATAAACGAGAGCTTGTAGCATTTATTTCTCGATACCGATACACCTCTTCCTCCCTCTCTCTCTCTCTCTATTACACACACACACACACACACACACACACACACACACACACATATATATATATATATATATATATATATATATATATATATATATATATATATACACATATATGTGTGTGTGCATTAATTGCAACATGTGCTTCAATTTACCTAATATTAAACGTTCAGGTAATATAGCGCCGAGATGCTGTGATGCCATATCCTATGCCTCACTTATCACAAAAAAATGTACGTAGGTTAATTGAATGAAAGAGTTGTCTTCTCATCACGCTTATTAACTGGAGACAAGCCTCGTAATCGCGTTCGCCAGGGACGTTGTCGAATATCTTGCAAGATATTTTAAGTAACACGGGCTCTCTGTTGGGAGATATCATTCTGAGAAAATAACATATCAACTTCATGTTGCAGGAACAATAACAAAACGTGTTGAGCAATATCTTGAATGTACATTGCGCTGTTAAATGTTCCATCCAAAAATCGTCAAAGAGTAGTAACTCATTGAAGCCACACCATGATGCCAGAGAGTAAGCCTGTGTGTCGTGGGAAGCATCGTCAAGCTAAAAAGTATTAATACCTTCATAAGTAATTCATTGTTACGTGATATGCTAAAACCATATTTTATTTAAAAAAAAGTATATTGTAATAATACAAAAACACCTCCGGATATAAAATTGAAGAATGGTGTCAGTTTTGTAAGTACGATGTTATTATAAGAGCGAAAAGAATTATGACCTTCATTATGTTAAATAGAACAAACGCCCACGATAAAATGAAATACGTCCTCTGTGATCATTTACGAAATTTACAGTAGAAAATGAAAATGAAAAACTTAACGACTCAATTAAAAAAGCACAATACCAAATTAATCACAGATAAATAACCCAAACATTGGTTTAAATGAATTCCTCCAAAATAATTGGACATTTATCAACCTGACTATCGATATGGTAACTTTAAGATCGATAATATCTGATCCTCTCTGAGCCCGCAAAATTTACCAGGTCACCATACCGCTATATAAACTTTGAAACTGGCTAAAAAAAATGGGGCTTTATGACTCCCTCTCTCTCCCTTCGCTCTCTCTCTCTTTCTGATATATATATATATATATATATATATATATATATATATATATATATATATATATATATATATATATAAGCAAGCTCTGAGCTCAACGCCGTGTGGTGATATTCCGTTCTATGTTTGAGCATGCCACAGACTGTTGCTACACGGTGTTGACCTCACTGTCCACTTTTATATTTACATACGCTATCCTACTAATATTGAACAATTTTACCAATAAATATACTATACCATAAAATATATTTTTCCTGTGTCATTTTGTATTTTGACGTTTTTATCTTTTTTTTTTTTTTTAGATATGAAGTATATTTAATAATTTTGTGTCTAAAATTGACAACATTTTATATGTTGAATTCTCTGTTTCGTATGATTAGATATTTTATTTTTGTGTTATTCATACGGATTTGTCTTGTGTTGATATGCAATGCGATGATATGCGTTGTTGAAATGCAATTTAAATGAACTGTTCTTTAGATAAATAGCACGTTAACTGGGCGATGTAGTTATGTAACCAATGTATGGATGCGCTGTTTGAATTATTCTTATAAGATATAGATTCTCCAGGTTGGCCAGCAAATTCATGGACAACATTGGGTTGTTGGAGTTTTGTTTTGTAGCATTGGTGATGAAACCATTTTAAGTTTTTAGTTTTTTTTAGTAAGTCATGAAGTTAATCTCTGCTTTTTATCAGAATGTACCGATGTATTAAATTTATTCTATTTTTTTTCTATTTTTTGTTTCCTTAACAACTTATTAACAAAGAAAGTTAATTGGTAATGAACCAGACCTCTTTAAATGAAAAAATGTTATCCAAATCCACCCAATGTACATATTATCACGTGTAAAGGCACACAAGGATTGAAAATGAAGAAATTGAAATTGGGGTGCTTATATACAAACATATATTCCCGAAACCAATTATTGTAAATGCAAAAAAATAAAAATAAATTACAAAGAACTTTTGTTGGTTTTTAACTAGATTCGTATAAACGAAAGACTGCTGCATCAATTCACTTGATATATATATATATATATATATATATATATATATATATATATGTGTGTGTGTGTGTGTGTGTGTGTGTGTGTAGAGAGAGAGAGAGAGGGGGGGGGAAAGGAAATAAAGAACAAAGGAAAACTTTTCTTTAACAATACCTTTCGTCTTTTGATGTACTTTATCAAAGCAAAGCGAAGAATTTTATTTTGCAACATGTATTTATAAACGTAAGTAAAGCATCGTTAGGTTTTCAAAAGTAATGCTCAAAAATATTCTTAAGGCTAATTG